GAATTTGATGGAGCATCCACGGAGGAAGTTTGTTGTTGAGAGGAAGCCATGGCGAGGCGTATGGGTCAGAGCGCAAGAGCTGACTCAATGGTCGAAACGGGGGCAGCAAGCGAAGGCTAGAGAGTGAAAGAAGAGAGAAGACGTTTTGCTTGGAATGAATGAGGGAGAGGCTAAGGGGGACGAATATATAAGAAGGAAGGAGTGGAGAGAGGAAGAGCGGGAAAACGAGGAGTAATTGCTCTGCTTTGAATTCGAAATTCAAATTTCGAATTGAAGTGGGGGGCATGGGAAAGCCCAATGTTCATGTCAAATCATTAAAAACGGAAGCCCAACAGACACGTCAAATTAGTAGGAAAGAGGCACGGAAGCCCAGCATGCGTAGCGGGTAGGCAAAAAGTAGGGGAAGAGGAAAGTCAAACGATGGTGCCAATTTGATGAAGGGAGATGCCATACGTTGCTCGTATGGCGCGAATAGTGAAAGAAGCGCACAAACGCCAAAGAGGAATGAAAGAGAGGTGCAAGAAATGAGAAGGAGTGCATTAGCAAGGAGGCGTTCAAAAGGGGTTGGGAAGAAAAGGCAGTGGGGCACGTCGTGTGTCTTGGAATCAGAAGGTAGTTATGCACCTAATATGAAGCCTTAGGCACCTAACTGGGGGAAATTGTTGGGGATATTGTGAAGGCCCAGCCAAAATCGGTGAAACCCAGAGAGAGACGGCCCGGGCTGGGGTTAGCCCAAAGGGAAGAAGGAGAAGTGAAGCCCATTAAGGTCAAACCGGCCTAGGGGCGCTTAGGGTAGGACACATTGGTGGGACCGAGTCTCTGACAATGTGCGCATAACAACAAGAGACAACCAACGGGAAGTAGCGTATGGGAAGCTAAACGGGTGATGTCATGCGCCTCGAGTCTTTGGCCGCCGTGTCAGACTGTCGAGGCGCATGGCGAGAAACAAGTACAAAGCATTAATTGCCCTGATGACGTGGGGCGTATTGGGGGCATTGGTCGACGAAGTTCCAAGTATAAATAGAGAATTGGTGAACCTCATTTACTTAGTTCTCGCTTCTCTCACTAAACTCTTTCCTACTTCTCTCTCTAAGATTGTGCGATTGACTAGAGCGTTGGAGTGCTAACGGACCTCCTGGGTCCGCTAGGCGCTTTGGTTGCAGGAACTAGAATACCGCGGAGGAACCAGGGGAATCGAGGTGCAAGAGAGAAGGGAAAGGAGCACGGTGGACATGGAACATGGAAGGTAACAGGGCCCAAACATATTGATTTAACGTAATAGGTGTAGAATAATGTTATACAAGTCTTACATAATTGATTATCTTTTTCAGTGACGACTACTAACACCTAGTTATATAAAGTGCAAGTCTACTAAGAAAGTCATGTATAAATTACTAGGCAAGTTCTTTCATTAGAGATATTTGTCTCTCCGTCGCATTTTGCATATTGTATTTTTTATTTTACATAACACTTATAGAATGATGTTAAGTAAGATATGCGAAGTAGATAGTCACTTTATGTGAATATTAGAACTTGTGTTATGTAAAGTATCAAGACATTAACAAAACACCTTATGTAACACAAGTGTTTGGACTAGGGGTGGATGCTGGATCAGTTCAAGCCAACATTCACGCGTTAAATTGTTCAATTTGGACTGGGAGAGACTGAACAACTCAACTATACTTAAATAGTACATTATGTTTAGGCTTAATCTATTTCTCGAACCTGTACTTCAATTGAGGAGAGTTGTTACCTATGAGCTATGATCAACTTCAAGAAATTTCAATAAGTTCATATGCTCGTACACACGTGTATAAGAGACTTGATAATTGGCACACTTAAACATTTCAAGTTAAATAATCATCTAAAATCTAAAACATCCTTAATCATAAACAAGGGACACTCTAAATTGTAAAGCATCCATAATCATACACAAACCGTAATCTAAATTCCAAAGCATACATGAAAGTTCAACTTTAGATTCGAAAAAACGAAAATATAACCAAAAGCCAAAAGTATATGTAGTTCAAATTACAAATTCAAACATGACATATCGAATGTCTCGATGACTTCTTGACTCTGGCCTATTCACTCATGGAACATGCCCCAACTCCTTCACTGAGAATATACATGAGACAATAACTCAATAATAATCGTCTACATACATTCCATAAAATGGATCAAGCTAATTGAATATGAAGTATGAAGTTAGTGGTTCATAAAAATCGATATTAATTAATTAGCCATTCGATCGTAAAATGAAGCTGGAACAGTCACCAGGACCACAACTAGAGCTACGACTACCTGTGACAATTAGATTCAAAATAGAAAGAAGAAAATTACCTTTAATGGATATTGCATTCACCAACTTGCTCAAATGTGAAATATTAAACCACAAGAATCAACATCTACCAAACATAACACAAAAAGGCTACTCAGTAAAATTGTAATATTGAGCGAGTAGAATTATGTCTCATCCGCTTTGGTTTTTTGACTTTTTCATAGCAATCGTCTTGTGGTCTGATTAGTACTTTGTATTTCTAATATATTCAATGAGAGATGTTTGATTTTAATGATGAATATTATATTTCTTCTTTCGGTTTTTGAATATCTATGAACAACCAAGTTTCATATCGAGATAGTATTCAAGATGAGAGAATGTCTCACCGTAAGAAGTCTCAATTGATAATACATGTCCTATCATTTTTATATATCAATGTGAGAAGAAAAGCATATCATGTGACTTTCTTTTGTTTATAATGACTTGGATTTTGTATCCTCCTTTTGTGGGTGTGCTTGCAATGGTAAAATCAGTTTTATTAGTCTCTCTCACTCAAATGGTGAACAAGTTAAACAAGATAACTTGGTAGACCAACAGTAGGCCATGTTTGCAAAAAGAACCCGAAAAAGAGTGTTTTTTTCTCAACAATAAAACCCAAACAAACCAAAAAGCACTAGAAACGCCAGGTACTTTACGCTAAATCTTCAATCCTTTTTTGGCTTTGTGAGAGCTTTCTTCTTGGAATATTTTTATGATTACACTTACCTTTATTGTGCAAAACATGTGCTTTACGCTAAATCTTCAATCTCTTTTTGGCTTTGTGAGATCTTTCTTCTTTGAATATTTTTATGATTACACTTACCTTTAGGGTTAATAGCATTTTGTACCCCTCTATTATGGTAAATTAACAAACGTACCCCTCTACTAAATTTTTGCACAAACATACCGTTCTAATATTAAAACGTAACGAGTTTACCCTTCCATCTAATTATCTGTTAAGTGACCGTTAAGTGGGCTATGAAATGACGCAATTGCCCCTCATTTACTCTAAATAATCCTAATTTCAGTTTTAATTATTTTATTCCCAAATATCAAACCCCTAACTAATATCTTCCCGAATCTTCCAGCAAAAAGCATCGCAACCTTGTTGTTGTCCCGCATCTCTCGCACCGTCCTCCGACAGACTCTGTACTCCACAACTCGAATGGGAATCTATGATATTCTCAAACTGAAATGGACCGACCCATCAAGGAAAATAATGCCACTCCTCAAGAAACTTCCGCCGGCCTGATCGTCTACGCTATCGATGTCGCTGTGGGCAACCCTGCTGACCTCGCCATAGTCGGATGCAGGCTGATGACCGCCTTCCACCGGCGCAGCGGCGGAACTACACCAGCGTAGTGGAGGCCATCACTCGGATGTCGCGACAGGAAGGAATCGGGAGCTTGTGGCCCGGGTCGATGATGACGGTGAATAGAGCAATGTTGGCGACGGCCGCAATTGGCATCGTCCGTAGGGTTCAAGGAGACGATCCTTGAAAATAGGGTAATGAATCTGGGGAGGCTGCGTCGTACGCCGGCGTCTTGGATTGTGCGATCAAAACGGTGAGGGCTAAGGGCCCCATGGCACTTTACAAGACCGGTTCTCTCTACTCCAACCGCCAGCGAGAATATGCCGAGCAGGCGCCGCTACCAAGTCCAGGCAGACTTGAGGGAGACAGACGGTTGCTGGTCGAGTGTGAATTAGCTAGGGTTTGATATTTTAATTAATTCATTTAGGACATAAAATAATTAAAATCAAAATTAGGAGTGATTATGAGTAAATGAGGGGTAATTTGGTCATTTCATAGCTTATATAACGGTCACTTAACAGATAATTAGATGGAAGGGTAAACTCGTTACATTTTAATATTAGAAGGGTATGTTTGTGCAAAAATTTAGTAGAGGGGTACGTTTGTTAATTTACCATAGTAGAGGGGTACAAAATGCTATGATGCAAAAAGAACCCGAAAAAGAGAAGTACTTTTTTCTCAACAGTAAAACCCAAACAAACCAAAAAGCACTAGAAACGCCAGTTACTTTACGCTAAATCTTCAATCCTTTTTTGGCTTTGTGAAAGCTTTCTTCTTGGAATATTTTTATGATTACACTTACATTTATTGAGCAAAACAGGTGCTTTACGCTAAATCTTCAATCTCTTTTTGGCTTTGTTAGATCTTTCTTCTTCGAATATTTTTATGATTACACTTACCTTTATTGTGCAAAACAGGGGAATTTAAGCAACAACATCCAATTTTCCCACACAAAGAAAAGCACAGAGGCAAAAGACCAGGCCCCTCCTCCTCCCCTCTTCTTTACAACCTCTCACTCATCATTGCTCCACAAACATACAATGAACACACTGTTTAACAACACAAGTTCTCTGCTTTGCTGTACAAATTCACAGTGCCCCAGAGTTGGGAACAAAACAGTACGAGGAAGTTTATTGCAAAAACCGAAGATCGATGCTTCTCTTTGTATAAATAACATAGTTATTAACTTAAACACAGATTTACACTTCCACAAATTACAGGAGACAACAGCAAAAGCCATTATACTGATCTTGAAATGGGTAAAGGGAAAAAAGAACAACAAACATATAGACTGGCAAATTGATTGGAAGACAATGAAGAACATGAACCCCACTTGCGTCATAAATTACGAACAACTCACCCCATAGATTAACATTCAATCCCGATTCCTGTGTGGTTGTGTCCATTTGCATCGAGGAAAGGAACAACTTCGATAGCTTCTTCCTGAGGATTTCCCTGATTCGATGCTACTGTGGTCTTGCTACAATATACACTTTTAAGCTCAGTCTTTGGGGGTGGATCTTCATGGTAGAAACTTGGCATTGGGTTTGCTTTGAATGTTAAACTCTTTCGTAATTGCTGAATAGTTGCCTCCATCTTTTCCATTCAGTTTCAGAAACAAAAGAACAAGTACAATAGCAAAGTACATCAGAATCATCAAATTCGGGAATCAACAGTCAAATGCAATAATATAGGATGAGCTGATACATGGCCGAGAAACAGTGATTTTCAATCGATTACTAAATTGTGGTACTGAGATACATTTTTTTTACCTTTGTCCTTGCTTCGTTTTGGGTCTTCTCAGCTTCCATAGCTTGCTGTTTCTCCTCTGATTTTGAGTAAAACTAAGAGATGGGAAACACAACAGAGGCATTGGTATCATGATTAGAACTACCTACCCCAAAGCTGAATATAGGACACAAATTAATCCAACATATTCTGCTGAAGGTATACCTCCTTCTGTTTCTCAGCACGTTGGCTAGATCTGAATGTTGGAGCTGAAGCAATAATTGACTTTGTCTTCATTGTCTGCAAAGAAGCTCCGGTACTAAACATAGTCAAGGTTTACAAATGAATCTGGCAACAAGAAGTAAACATGGAGACCAAAGAGTTGAGCAGCAAAAAAGGAGATATAACACTGAATTTTATTATCTATAAGCAATAGGATACAAGCTAGCGACAGAACACAAATCTTCTTCTCCAGGATTCTTCTTGTTCTTCGGTTGGAGTGGCCTCCTAGCCCCTGAAAGAGGCTGCATTCAACATAAAATAGTACACCATAAATACGAATTAAATTCTAACAACCGCAGTAACAAATAACAACTAATACTGAGGATTTTTCTTCACCCTCCTAAGACCAATGTTGTAGGCTGAACCCTATCAGATAATGAAGTAATTCTTGAATTTGGAAATATGCAGCATCTAGTGGATAAATCATTCTCACAAAGAGTAGCTACCTGATTCTGTTTCAACGTATTGGGATGCAACACATTGTTTCCTTTAGATTTTTTATTTGGACCAGCCTTTGCAGAAGGACGAATTCCAGATGAGGCACGCTTTTCAGTTGCTAGGGCAAATGGTTGAGGAATGTTATGTTTTGTTCGAGCAACTCCATGTTTGGTTGCATGTTTCTTAGGTGAACTATGAGACATGTTCCTATCCTCTAATGACTTGGTTCCTAGTTTGCCTTTCTCATGTAAATCGTCCTCAGATGATGAGTTTAATGCAGACTGGTGTTGTTTACTTTGTCCAACAAGGGAAAACTCAGTAGTCTCAACAACAACTTCAGTTGTGCATTCCTTCACTTCATACTCCATTGAGTCAGTGCTCCCTTCCACACTCAGTTGTTCAGCATCAACAGTGATTGGCTCGTAGGATTCATGCACATTATGTTAATTTATCATAGCAGGTTGATCTGGATCACAGGAAGCCCCATTCAAATAAGATATGGAAAAATCATGCTCCTTATCAATGCAGATTTCCATAACTTCTGCCCCCATTGCCTACCACAACCAGGAAGAGAAAATCATAATTATTTTGATTTGCATATAGCTCTTACATGTTCTTTCAGCAAAATCCCATACAACTATTTCCTAGGTTTAAATTTTCCCTCTCCTTGAATAACACAGACAAAAGTTACCACAACGAAGTACCAACAGATCATTCACAGGGTTGTAATTCTAATCGATCTGTCTTCCCTGTTGTTCAAGAAACTTTGAGTGAACGTCAAAGTCTGTGATTTTGACTTGTAGGGGACCCGATTGATTTCAAATTAATTTATCGAAACAAAACAGGAATCCTTTATAACATCGTTAGCTACTAAGCACAAGAATGTTTCTATTTTTAAACCTTGAATTCTTAAAGCTTCACACCTGCACTTCCTATGAGAGATATGTTCACCAACTAGTCACTTGCTGAAATTCAAGGCTAGATAGATCGATAATACATGTGCGCATAGACAGTCCAATAAAGACAAATGAGACAACTCTCACTTGAGAAGAAAAAGTTTGCTGCTTGATAAAATTACGTACCCAATTGCGGGTTACAGATGAAGATAAAGAACCAACTCACCCAATTACTTGAAAGAAAGCATGAATGAGTCAGCACCAGAATGTATGAAAGCAACCCAAGCATAGAATTCAAGAGTTCACATGGACAAGGGACATCATGCATCATAAAACCCCAGTCAATCCCACCTAGGAAAAGTTTGGAGAAACACTAAGGAAAACTGAGGATGGCAAAGTGGGGAGCCAACTTCATTCGTTCTATTTCGCCTACTTTTATATTTGCTAATTAAGAGCGAACAAACCAATTTTGCAAGCATATATATGCAAATAGCTTCTGATGGCGTTTCAGCTCGAACTCTCAAACCACAAAATAGGCGCAAAAACTCCAAAAGGGTCGATCACCATTAAAAGGAAAGCCAAGAAGCATTGTGCAAAGAACGGAGAAACAGAAAGAAAAACTAACACCAACTTCAAACACACCCTGATTCCCATCAATTTCTCAACCTACATTTTTTAAGCAATCCAACACAAAATGAAGAATTCAACGGTAGCAAGATCGGGGAGCCAAGGGAAAACAATCTGAAGATGCAGATAGGAACGATCGAAATTGAAGCTACATTACGTGAAGGAAGAAGAATGAGAGTTGAGGAAATGGCGGATAACATGAATCACTCACAGTTTTGGGTCTGATCTGTTGTATTATGGTGCTTGCGAGTGCTAAGCTTTCGCCTTATCGAGGAGGAACCTCTTTCGTTTCTTCGCTAGTCTCTATGGCTTTTCTTTTGGCTGGGAGTCAGTGTTTGTTTCTGTTACTCAAGTTTTATAGTACTGCTTGCAAAATGTGCTGCCTCCCGTCGCCGTTAACTGCGTCTCTTGACAGCACCGTGGCATGATTTGAAAATTGGAATAAAATTCCACAAAGAAAAGAAGAAATGAATTCAAATGGTTATAAATGGATTGGTCTTCCTTTTGGTTCTGGTAGGAGATGAGTTTTTGTTCCATTTTTCGTTAAAATCAAAGATTCTCTTGTCTCGACTTTCTAGACATATTCTATTATTTTAATATTTGTGACCCAATTTATTTAAATAAAGAATAAAAATATAATCAAATAAAGTAAAAGTACGGCAAAATTACACATTTGGTCACTCGAATTACACATATAAATAAATATTTCACGTTTGCCACCGAAATTACTTTTCTTTCTTATTCGCCACTAACTTTACAAATCATTTCACCGTTGGCACCGGCCGTCCAATTCCGTTAAAATCATCCTAAGTGGCAGTCAACTTTGTCCTTTGACCGTCAGTTTCATGACGTGGCAATTAAAAATTTAAAAACTAAATTTATTTTAAAATTAAAAAATATATCTATCTCCTTCCACTTCTTCCTCCCACCAAACACTTCTCCTCGAATCCAATCAGACTCCTGATAGAGCATCTATTCATGGGCAACGGCGGTGGCAACGATGGAGGTGAAGGAGTGGGCACAGACGGAGACGGCTGATCCACCGGCAGCAGAGGAGGAGGCGGATCCGACGTATATACTGCCACCATATGTTCCTACTTCACCTCCTCACTGAAACCGCATCCAAGATAATCTCCATGACATTCGCCACTATAACTTCTTCTTCTTAGCAACCTCGCGGTGGAGGCTAAGTAAAGACATAGTCGCCGCCTCGTTGCTCAAGGACTCGTAGATCTGCAAACTTCTCCTCGTCACTCAAATCAAACCCGACCCTTCAAACCTCGTCAGTTGATGGGTTTATAGTGGAAGTTGGTCCCTGGAGAGTCCTCGCGCGTTGTGGCTCTGTCTGCGTCCCCTTCGGTTTCGCCGGAGATGGCGGTGATGTATTCAGCCGATTGTGAATTGTTTCTGATTTCCGCTCCAATAAGAAGGTGCATTCTAGAATAGCAGGTCAGAGAATCAAACACCGATTGAAGCCATTGAAATCCTTGTCTGCGCTCTGTTGACTGGAATCACCGGCATTGGCTTCTTCTACGATTCCGAACAACTCTCCGTTGCCTGGAATCACCGGATTCAACTGTCAAGTCATTCAACATTAATGACAAAGTGTACTGTCAATTAGAATTGAAGGAAATTACGCCACTGGGGCATTGAATCTCATTAGAATAAGAATGGCCTCTCTATGGATTCAAGGAGAATTGCCGATGGGAGGAAGAAGTGAAAGGAAGATAAAATAATTTTTAATTTGTAATTTAATATTTTTTAACTGCCACATCATCAAACTAACGGTCAAAGGACTAAGTTGACAATCACGTAGGATGATTTTAACATAATTGGACGGCCGGTGCCAATGGGATTCGTAAAGTTAGTGGCGAATAAGAAGGAAAAGTAATTCAAGTGTCAAACGTGAAAGATATGTGTAATTCGAGTGACCAACCGTGTAATTTAGCCATAAAAGTACTTTTCTTGACAAAAGATGGAAGTTCGGTTAACACTCGCACTTAAAACTTGAAAGGGAATGTGATTTGTAAGGGAAAACTAAAGACTTTAGAGAAGATTATGTAAAATATTACAAAGTCATTACCAGTTTTTTTCTTCCATAATATAATTGTTAATATGGTTACGTAAAACATAATTATTATTCTAATTTTGATGTAATTTACGTGTATCTTCCACAAAAATTATAAAATAATCTTACATCATTCTTAGGTAATGGACAGTCATTTTACATCATGAATAATTGAATATTAAATTGCCGACTTGTTACAAAAGTCTTGCATAATACGTCTAGTCTAACTGTTAAGTAAGAAATAATTATCGTATTAAGTAATGTATTTTTATCTTACTATAATATTTGTAAAATAACATTACACAAACCTTATGTAACTGATGATCTTTTTACGTAATGAATAATAATATTATAATACGTAAAGTATTAAATCATATTATATAACACGTATGCTTTAACCGTCACCTAAAAAATAATCCTCCTCCCATAATTTTTACGACATGTACTACTTTCAACAAAATGCATCCATATAGCACAAACTCTTCCCAAACAAATTGTTATGATTATCATTTTTTTGCTCTCCAAATCTTCTTATTTATATCCTTGATTTTTGGGAATCTAACCTTCTTCTCCAAAGCATGGTAAAGGAAACCGTACCGGAAGTCATACCGGCTCCGCCAGTGGTAGGGTATTTTGTGGTACTACCGTGGTTCAATCGTTGTGTACCGGCAAAATACCGTTTTTGTAAATAAATAATATTTTTTTGTGAAAAAACCGTACCGGCAGATTTGTGATACCGTTTCTGAATAATACCGGAATAAAACCGGAATATACCGGATAACAAACATGAATAAACTAAATAAGCAAACACAGACAGGGTTGGATTGCACGCAAGCAGGAAATAAGAATCACTAAACTATCTCTTCCTCAATTATGAAGCAGAAGCACCCTTAAAACATGATTCTTTTTTGCCTTTGGCGGTTGCGAGGGATTGAGAGATGGCCTTAGCCTGGATGATGAGGCTTTCTATTCTTCCTCATTGTGTTGGATAAAGAGAAATCGGAGGATTTTTTAGGATTAAGGGAAAATTGAGGGTCTTTTCTATGAATGTTTGTCTTTTAAAGGGAAAGCGGAGGCTCTGGTCTAGGTGCCGGCACTCTAGGAGTTCGATGTCGTCATTGGGCTAAGCTCGGTACCCAGATTTGTCTACGAAGCCTGCAATCCCCAGTTTTGATTTCCCACAGAAGAAGATATTGATTTCCTGAAGAAGGGAGGAAGTTATTCGGAAAGAAGAAATGGGATCTACTTTGACTCCCTCAAACCCTCTTAATTGATTCGTCTCCTTTGACTCCCTCAACTTGCTCTATCTAGTTAATTCCCTTCAGTCTCCATTGTTCTGCTCCGTCTCCTTCTTTGGCCTATATTCATTCCAATTTTGCGATTCATTCAAAGATGGGGGAAGTGTGTTCGCCGTCCAACCATACCTGCTGCCGCCATGTTCTTCTTGATCAGGGGAGGGAGACGCGTGCGGCGGAGTTGTGGCGGAATAGAGGCGGAGCAGCCTGGAGCAGAGAAACCGCAGAGCAGGTCGCCGGTCGCCGCCTCGCCGGTCGAGAAGAGGAGGGAGGATCGCCGGGCCTTGGTCGCCGGTCGAGAAGAGGAGGGAGGATCGCCGGGCTGGTCGTCGCTCGAAAAGAAGTGGGAGGTCGCCAGCAGCAGCAAACGAAGGACGAAGCAGCAGCAGCAAACGAAGGACGAAGCGGCCGATGATTTAGGGTTGTGCTTTTGAGGCTTCGGCCGAAATTTTTTTTTTTTTTTTCTTCACCACAAAACGACGCCGTGTCGTTCCCGTTAGCTGACCCCCGGTTAGACCAAAACCGGGCGGCTTTTTGAGTTGAACCGGTTTTATCGGGAAAACCGGCTGGGACGACTCCTTCACCACAAACTGCTTGTCGTATCGGCCAGGAGCGAATTTCCAGTTTTACCGGTTCAACCGGCCGGTACGATCCGGTTTCCTTTACTATGCTCCAAAGTACCAACCCAATTCCGATGCACGCCCCGACCCCGATTATTCCAATATTTGCCCCATATATAATCTTGTTCTTCAAACCACCTCCAACTTTTGTTTGCTATTGACCATACACAACCTTCCTCTCTAACTACCCGTTTCCCACCTATAAACGCATAAGCAGAACCACTAACGTTAAACAGTTTGGTAACTCAACAACAGTATTGCAACAACTCCCTACCCTGTAGGGTTTGCGGCACATATCACATAAAGATAATATAAGGCTCCTAACGTTAGAAACTGGTATATGATTCATAACTGAACATCTCTTTCTCAGTAGAGTTATTGAGATTACTGGTTTATGACGTGGTAGCAGAGCTTTCTCTGACCGAGAGGTCTTGTGTTCAAACCCCGATGAACCCCATATGTTCTGTCAAACACATGGTATCCAGATCTGTACAAACTTCAATCCCATATATGATGACTTTCGTTTGAGGGGTGTAGTATATAATCCATAATTGAACATCATCCAACAATTCGAATTATTAAAATCAACTGGTTCCTGACATGGTATTAGAGCCTCCTATGACTGAGGGGTCATATGTTCCAATCCCGATGATCCTATTTGTTAAGCACATGGTATTTGAATATGTGCAAGCTTCAAATCCGTATGTGGTGACTGTCATTTGAGATGATGTGTTAGTAAGTGGTATACGATCCATAATTGAACCTTTTTTGCCAACTCGAGTTATTGAGATCGGCTGGTTCTTGACATATAACTATAGGGTATCCCTTTGAATGAGGATGTTTACAATATACCATTGAAGTTTTTATAGTTAAACTATACTCTCTATCGATAACCAATACAAGTGTCTATCAATGAATTCACCTTTTTCTTCTTCTTTTGTGCTCCTAATCCTATCCTATCAATCTTTAAATGTCTACCTAATTTTCCATGTCAAAGAAGAGGGTGCCCACCTAAAATTCGAATCAAACTGTTGGCAGTTTAGGAAATTTAGTAATGCCAAAAGAAGAGCAGCGGCAGTAACCACTAGTGTTTAATCTGCTCAAACCTATTAGTTGGTGTGTTGTTGGAGAGGAAAAAGACAGAAGTGACAGACAAGAAGAAGAGTGCAGAATTGAAAGGGTAGTAGTTCCCAAGTTTGTATAGATTATCCTTAAGGATAAAGAAAACTTGAGAGAGAAAGAGAGGAGAGACGTAGCATCCAAATAATTGCCCACAGCTAGAACGGATGCCCCATTATCTAGGTTTGATTATCCCTTCTTAACCATTTTGATTAAGCCTGAACAACCTCTCTAAGTGACCGTATTTATATATTCGATCCTTTTCTAGATTGAATATTTGCCCAATTGACATGCTAGTTCACTTACCACTAATGTCAGTAATGTGAATCTTCTCAAATCAAGAACCAAGCTCTTTCGCTTTCCACTTTGGATTTTAAGGTGGGGTGAGTGGAAAATGAAGGGTTATAAAGAGTTTGAGTAGCTCGAGGAAGGTAAAGGGCTAACTGATGTTCATATTCATGTGAGAAGTGAAATGAGTATTTATGTTATGGGACAATCCAAGTATCACGTCGGGAATATAAGAGAAGAGACATTTTTATATTAGTGTTTATGAAACTCATTAGTATGGAGACCTTTTGGGGAGAATAACCAAAAGTAAATTCTTGTCGGTTTGGCTCAAACTGGACAATGTAGTACTAATGAAGCTTCTCGATTTCGACAAGTGGTGTCAGAGTTTGGTTCGGTTTCGATTTGAAGCGGTGAACGTCAGTTTGGTGTACCCTCATTCGTTGACCTCGGGATTTGAGATCCATGTTTGTCTGGTGCATCGAGGAAGATTTGTGTCTGCTTGGCATATCAATGGATATGTGCATGAGTGCATCTGGTAAATTCTTACCTCGAAGAGCTTGTCTGTACAAGGTGTCTGTCTGTCTGTCTGAGGGATCAAGATAATCGCTCGTGCAACTACATTAAGTGAGAAAGTCTATTAAGACTAGTAAAGGGAGGAGTGGAAGGAACTTTGGATTTGGAAAGCTATAGTTGATTTGATTAAACTTTGGTACTTGATAGAGATTGGTTTTTGTAACCATGACTAAATCGAATTGAACACAAGGGGTTGTTAGCCGAAACAATGCATTTGTTAGAGTTAGTCGGTCGGGTTCAATTGACTGTCAACAACTGGACCGACACAGTGGTTGGAAATCAACTGTTCGGTTCTACCGTCTCCTTTCTAACCTAACAAACGCCTCCCTTCAAAAGCAACGCCTCATCGTCTATAAATTGCACCAACCAATCTCACTTTGAACATAGGGTTCTTACATACCGAAAATCAGCTAAAGAAAATCAAGTCAGTGTGATTCTTGTCGTTTGTTTTTGTTGGATTTTGGGTTTTGAGGTACTGCTACGCTATAAAGTCACATTCATTTTCTTATCATGGAAGGAATTATTCTGCATGTTTAACCTTGGACGATTTGCATGTGTTTGGTTGATTTTGCATGGTTCCTTTCTATGTGGCTTGTTCGAATTTGAGATATTCAAATTAAAAATCAACAAACAATTTGTACAATTGTTGCTAACAAAGGAGACCAGTAATGAAATGAAATTTTATCATAAGATTCGAATTTGAGATATTGTTTTCCCGGCGAGAAAAACTAGATGAACAGAATTGGATTTTGCACCTTTGACTTCCAAACAAACGATCAAACAACACAGTTCACACCTCTTTGAACAAAGTTCAAACAAGGGTGTTCAATGTTTTGATGAACTACGAGGCAAATATACATTAAGGGGTAGTTTGGAGGATGTGATTCTCACAATTGATACATTTCTTCAATTGATGTATTAGAAGTAGATGTATTGGATCAATATATGAATTTGAGAAATACATTGTTTGGAATATGGGATTGCACTTTTTTGTATAGAAAAAAATAAAATACTTTTAAGCACATAAAGTCACAATTGCCCTTCACTTTATACAGCTTCTTTCTTCTCTTCATTTGTTTCACTTTCAGTGGGCAAACCAGAAGCCCTTACAGTGATAGAAGAAAAGAGAAGTTCTTTCTTTGCGGGAGAAGAAGAACAATTGAAGGAAGCACATTTTCACCATCGAGAATCCAGACTTATGCAGCAAATGCTCTCCTCGCGACAAAGCCGACAACATCCAGGCGAGAACGAGGAAGAGATTTCTGTCAAATGTCTGTGTGGATCTCTTGCAGTCCTCAGAACATCTCATACGCCTGGTAATCCGAATCGGAAGTTCTTCGGCTGCCCTAAATGGAATCCCAAGTAGGTAATTTCCTGGGTTGATTAGATTTGTGGTTCCAGATTCGTTGTGCTTCACTTGGTTTCGACTATGGCTTGCTTAGCTAATTGGTCCTTTCACGTTTGAAGCCGGAGAGTGCTTGTCGATTTTTTGTATGGCACGATATACAGGTGGCAATTGAGAAGGAGAAACATAAATATGAAGTCTTAATCAATGGGTTGAAGATGGATAATGCACGTTTGAGGGAAGAGAACGAGGTCCTCAGGGAACGGGCAACTGAACTGCAAGAATCAATTCTTTCTCAAATGATGGTGGGAAGGTTGCAACTGGAAAATATAGATTGCCCAAAACAAGATGTTTCCACAGCGATGAAAGAGGAACTCGATAGGGTTAGAGCTAGACTGAGTTTTCTAGAGTCCATTGTGTTAGGACCTAATGCTGCAGAGTAATTCATGTGAACTTTGGGCTTATGTATTTTGAATTATCAGTATGGTTATGTTGTGTTCTTTTGTAATGCAAGTAATGAGATGTACTAAATGAAGTTATTGAAATGCAATTGTTATTGATGTAAAAAACCAGCATCTAGACACAAATGTAAAAAAACCAGCAACAAAATGAAGTTTGGTGTGAAACAAGCCCTTGTAAGAATCAACAACAACATGGTTGTGAAAAACCAGCAACAACATATATTAGTAAGAACTTATAGCATAACATAAGTCAATACACATTTGCATAACAGAACTAGGATAACAAGCCATTATATCCCGTGGCTACAAAATATGGAGTGGAGATTACAAAATATGGAGTGCTCACACTCTCAACTTAGACATTCATAATCTGACCATGACTCTAAACATCTTAGATAGGCTAGCTATATTAGTTGATGAGACCAAGTAGAAAGTGAAGCTTTTTTTCAGCTGTGGGCAGTTGGTAGTAGAGCTGGGCAATCCTATCGTCCTTGACAAGGATCATAGCAGCTGAAAGCACTTGATCCTGTGTCAAACCTTAAACATTAGACAGCTCCTCAAACAGACTTCCTCTCCTAATCATCAATGGATCTTCATGGCAAAAGCTATTCGCCATCCTATCAATGTTCATGCTAGCCTTCTCCATTAGAGGACGCATTTTCTCGATCTCAGCAGCCACAACATGACTCGTAGAACTTTTATCGGTCTTCGACCTCTTATTACCTCCAGCTACATTAGTTGTCTTACCACGACCTGTTTCTGGTTCATCAAGCAACTCTCTATGGTTAACACCTTCATTTATCATCTCCTCTAAGACACGTTGACAAGTTTCATCATCATACATCATGGGTTCCTCAGTGAAAGCTCTTCTAACACGACCCTCCACTTCCATATCAGCTACAGAGCCTGCTTGACTTCCCACTGCTCTATCCTTACCAAAGATTCTGCTAAGCTGGTCGAAATAGACAAAGGCCTTGCTGTTGAGTCCAGAAAACACTGGATGGGTCTGCATCCAGTTACCAAACCCCACAAATCAGCAAAAAAAAAAGTCAAAAATTGTAAACCAGCATGTATAACAAGTGGGGAAATCTAGCAAGTATAAGAAAGAACAGCAGAGGTGATTATAAGACCAGAAAATACCTTAACCCAATCCTTGAAAACATCATCATCAGCAACAATCATCTTCTTGGACTCATCCCAACCAAACCCACTACAACTTCCATTTTGGACATCATATATGGCGTTGTACTTGTTCTTGAACCAACGGTGTCGTGACCTGACATTCAGATTGAAACCCGGAATCCTCTTCCTCATCATAACCTCCAGCTTCTTGAATCCCCCGTTCTTCAAGTTTCCTGACTCCACCTCCCTAGATTGAACCAAATCCAGTAGGCAGTCGATGAACACTACATCATGAATCTCTGACCTGGACTTGTACTCCCTTAGCCTCTGTTGTCCAGCATCATTAACCTCACCAGTAACCTCGTCATTAACCTCGTCATTAACATCCTGGTTAGCTGCCATACCTTCGATGTTCAATATGGTTAGCACCAAGACCTGTAGAATGGAACAAAGCGTAAATGCTGTAGTAGGTAGTACGAGAGCAGCAATGAAGTAAATGCACAAACAACATAAGGAACAAACATATAAAGAAATAACACTTCCTGGTTCCATCAAAGCATAAACAACAGAAGGGAAATGCAGAACTATTACTGAAGGTTCTGTTTTTGCAGAAGGAATAAAGCATAAACCAGCAGTAGGGGAACAAAGCATAAACAACAGAAGGTAGAAATCAAAAACAGCAGAAGGGAAATGCAGAACTATTACTGAAGGTTCTGTTTTTGCAGAAGGTAGAAAGGAAAAACAGCAGAAGGAACAAACTGTTTTCTCTACTGGTATAACAAGCTTTGCAGTACCAGTTAAATAGAAGAATCAATGCCAGAACATTCATTTCGACCAACAACCAAACACCAACCCTGAACTACTAGTTCAAATACTTATGGCAACCTTTTGTAATAAATGATGACACAAGTCAGTTGACAGACTAAACCAATAAATTGAAAAGCACTATCATTCTAACATAATAAGTATAAATTGGAGTACAGAAGAAGGGAGTAATGGCATTAACAAGTTGATAACTACCTAACAAAAAAGGGGGAGTACAGAACCCCTATTGCTATCTACCAAACAAAAGAGGGGAGTACAGCATCCCTATTGTCATCTACATAACAAAAGAGGGGAGTACAACATCCCTATTATCATCTACATAACCCCTTATCAATTACCAGCCCATGGCCTAGCATTCCACATATCTTGTGCCAATTTCTGTCTAAAATCTGACCACTCTATTGAAGGCTGGATATGAAGTATAAGCTCTTCATCCACATCTGGTTCATCGTCTTCATCTTCATCAACATACAACCTCTCGAACACATCAGCACCCACCTCTCCACGTCTTAACGGCCTCCATTCTGATCTCTCATTTCTCCTTTGTTTGCTTCCTTGTCTCGTCTGTCCTTCTCTGCCCTCATCGTAATATGATAGGTCTGCCAGCTAGCTAGCTTACTAAGCCGAAAAGAAATGGTGCCAATGCTCAGCCTTACTCTACCACTCGCCGGATTAGGAGGCAGTCCCAAGAGTGAAGGAGAGTTTGAGCTTTCAACATATGGGAAAAAAGTTTTTTGCAATGTGTGGAGGATGGGTCATGGAAACAGGTCAAGCTGAACAGATCCGGACCATCTCTATCTCACCTATTCTTTGCAATCTCTATCTCACCTATTCTTTGCAGATGATTTCATCCTTTTTGGTGAGGCTCAATAGATAGAGGAAAGAGATCTGGCTGTGGGGTTTCCACGGTACTTGTTGATCATCCCAAGCGCTGCTAATGTGGCTATTAAGCTATTTCTTTGGAAAGCCCCGTCCCAGCCAATCTCCTTCGGGATGAAGACCGGCCATGCCCCTTATAATATCTACTTTGACCTCAAAAAGGTCTTGGGCCTCTGTTTCAGCCAGCTGAATGTCAAAGTAGGAGGGATATGGGTTTGCAGCTAAGAGCCTTCCTTACTTTGAGGCTCAACACTTAAAAGTTCCTTGCTTTTAGTCTGAAGATGAAGTTGTGCAACAGACAGCATGCATTGACTATTTTTGTAACCATCTTGGTAGAAAACCAAGTGGTATCTCTCAAAATTGCCCAGCGCATTTTCAGTATGCCAAATGCTCTTTCTACACTGTTTCTTGCTGTTGAGTGTCTCATATTAAATATTTCTTCAGGGGATCTTGGTCTTCTCCCATCCCAATCTTTTAGGTGATAACGTTGACCTCGAAATGGCGACAAGAACCCCTCACAGTTGCTGTATCCAGCATCACATAAGTAATAGAAACCTACATTTCCAACAATAGGCATTAACAAAATTGATTTAGTCATGAATAATATGCTACAAGTAAAACGCTATAAATAAAGCAGACATACCTCTAGGAACCTTCAAACCATTTGGTCTAATAAGGGCGTCTCTCAAAACCCTCCCATCATGAGCAGACCCTTCCCAGCCCGCCAAGCAGTAAATGAATTCCATGTTCTGATCAACAACTCCTAGGACATTCATTCCAATCGTTCCCTTGCGAGTACGGTACCTTTCTTGATTCTCTTTTGTAGCACGTACCTCCACTATTGTTCCATCAAGTGCCCCAAGACAATTCTATAAGAAAAGGGAAAAAACACAGAAAGTTTAAAAGTTTACAAAATTAACATACACAATATGCACACATGTAACAGACCATATACCTTGAAGTACTTCCATTTGGGATCATCTGAATTCTCTAGAACAGGCTTCGGTTTCCGTAGTAAAACAGAGTGCAGTTTCAAAACCGAATGTAGAACAGTTTTAATGACCCTACAAACCGTTTCCCCTGAACGACGAAAGGTAACTTGGAGCTGAAGATTCTTTTCGTTATGGGCTATGGTGTACAGGAAGATGGCGACCATCTCATCTATTTCAAGGTAACAACTACACCTAAGACCTCCCACATCTCTAAGAAGCATACAAAGTTTCTGAAATGTCCTACAGTTCATCCTAACAAGCATAGTGCAAGATATATCACCGTGGGAAACGATACATCTCATGAAAGAATTCCTAGCTAGCTGTCTAGCAATTGGTGTCTCCCAAGCAGTTCCCTGGTCTATGCTTTCCAAGCGTTCAGATTCAACAGCGTCATAATATTGCATAACAAGTTTCATAAAATTGAAAAGGAGGTCCAAGTACATAGAAACAGCGGCTATGATTGCCTTCTTCCTTTGCCTTGGGCACCTTGCCATGATCTACAAAAAGGTTGTCAAACCAGGGAATAGAGAAGGAACCCAACACGAGAAATAATAGATGGGTAGTGTTTAAAACTGGGAACATACATGTTCGACTTCTCCTTCAATTCTCGGCGTCGAGTTCGGTTCCGACAAGTCTCCAGCGGCGAGAGTTAGGTCGGGGCAATTGTTGAGGAGTTTTCAACGGCGAGAGTTGGGTCGGGGCTATTGCTTGAAAACCTTCAAATTCGAAGATGGAGGAGCTATTGTCGAATGGAGGAGATTTGTTTAGGGTTGTGCTATTGTCGAATGGAGGAGCAGGGGAGGAGTTCTCACTATTTTTCTACGGCTCTAGGAATTACACGAGCAGATAAGTGGGAGGTGAGAGAGTGTTGTTGATGAGGGTACTAATGGAATAATTGAAAAATAGAAGGGACAATGATGGAACAAAAAAATGGGCAAACATTCACTCATTCCTAATCTCAGCTTATAGTAGAGATTTGTAATCCCTCATATTGAGTGATTGTAGGTGGGGCCATTTAAAGGTATTACATGTATTCTTCAACAAATTTAACCAAAAAAATGACTGAATCTACCCATTACATGTATTAGCTAAATCATTCACTTCTAATCACATCCTCCAAACAACCCCTAAATTAGCCCTACTCCTATGGAGGTTCAGTGAGAGCTCCAAAAACTACGACTATGGCTAAAATCTGCAGAGGAAAAGATAAAAGATAAAACTTGACAAGTGGTGTCGAGTTGTGATTTTTGCGAACCCTTTCTCTGTTATCTTCACCTCCTATTTATAGCCATCAGAAGTAACTGCCCCAAGAAACTGCTCTGGTGACGTGGAGTGGCGGTTACCCTCTCAACTGCTTCGACGGTTACCTTGACGTTGGATGTAGACCAATCTTGGCCTCTCCTCTTGAGACCTCACTCCATGCTCTTGGTATCTCCTCCGTAGCTTTGCGTGTCTATAGAGAAAAAATGGCTAAGGCATGAAAGCGTACCACATGCCCACCTGACCCTCCTTGGCCACCTCATGAGGGTGGTGTCTTGGTAGCCCCCCTGGCAACCTCATGGGGGCTTGCTCATGGCGGGGTGTGTTGATGGCCATCCCCTGATCATCTCATGGGGGGTTCTCCTTGCCATCCTTGGTGATCACCCTCGCTATGTCCTCAGTCACCCCCTTACCACGTCATGGGGTGGCAATATGGTACCCACCCCCTTGGTACCTCATGGGGGTGGCAGTATGATGCCCACCCCCCTTGCCACGTCCTGAGGGTGGTATGATGGTGGCCACCACCCTTGGTACCTCCTGGGGGTGGCTACCATACTCCTTGCCTTAGCCAAATTCGACCATCACCCCCCCCCCCCTCACCATGTCCCTGGGGGTGGCGGCATGATGCCCACCCCCTCTGGGTGTCATGGGGGTGGCTCCCATACTTAGCCAAATTTGGAGATACATGGCGCACGTGGTGGCACGGAGTAATGGGCCCAAAAACCCAATCTCCATGGCCCACTCAACTGATTTAAACTGATATGGTTAAGTTGGCCTTATAAAGCCATTTAATTCCTTGTTTTTAACCGATGTGGTATAAGGTTAATTTTTATGGGTAAACAGATATTCAAATTAAAAATGAAGACGGTATCATTAGATAAGTTCATGTTGACAAATTTATGAATGTTTAGATAGTAAAAGAGCTGCACAAATTAAAAATGATATATAATATCTGATGCAACAATATTGGCAATCTACTAGATATTTATTATGTTCCAGCAACAATGGTAAACATAATATAACAATAACGTTGCTATCAGAAAAAAAAAATATTACAATAACAATGTATTGACTATATGTCTCTCGTATACCTACAAGTCCGATATACTTTGATGTATATACATCACAACCTACAAGAAAATACAAAGTAACTAGACAAGTGGTTGGCACACATTATTAGAATTATTAAGCCAGAAGTAGACAAAACTTACCAAAAATCGAGATTTACTGTTCATTACGAAAAAAATCGCGCAGGACTATTCACAGAGTGGTTCAGTGATTGTCTGTGGTCCTTTCTACGTGAGCCTACATGAGTCCAGATGTAATTATATTGGACAGGCCAAGTGTCAACATTGATATGAGTTTTAAGTTGATAAATGCACGAGCTCAGAAAAACATAGCTGCACCTGATTATAATATTTGGTGGGTCCTTTCTCCCACCTCCCAAATTTGAACAGACACTCACTAGAACCTTCTCTCTCCTCTCTCTCGGATCCCTGAACCTACTCAACGGAATGCCGACGTACCTCCCAAACCTTCTTCCCTTATCCCTCCCCAGTCCCCTCTATCCCAGCTCCGAATCTCCTCACCGGATTGCTGGCGAACAACGGCGGAGGAGATCCCGCGTCTTTGCTTCTCAGTCTGCCCATTCATTTTCACATCCCAGTCTCAATCATCGGGGAAGGAAACGTCATTCAGTCCCTTCTCTCTCCTCTCGACTGGTCTTTCCCCACTCTGATTCAGCCCCCAATTCACCATTTCCCATCGCCAAACCCACTGAACGATGCCCTATCTTCCCTCTCTCTCCCCTCCATGAACGTGATGAACGGCGGAAAATCTCCTCTTTGCAAAATCGAAGGCGCCAGAGAAATCCCTATTGAGCTTCGTTTGTGTCTCGTTCATCTCTCAATGGTTCATCTCTCAAAGCTGAAGTTATGGGCGACGAGCCCTCCTTCCAAGCATAATTGAATTCAGACGAAGCTCTATTTGGGTTGCCCATGAGTTGCGAGGATACACATTTACGCCCAATTTTTTTTTTTGTAATTGTTAGTGATGAAGTGTACCTTCTTCCTGCATTTTAGGCTTATTGTTATCTGTTATTTGTGGAACGTTGTACTCCACCTTTCTCTCCATCTTTCACTCTTTCTGTTACTTTTCTTCCGTTGCACACTCTGCTGCATTGTACTATATAAATATTGAGTTAATAATAGAAAGCTCAGGTCTTGAGTATTTATGGTATTAGAGCCTACCTAAACTCTAACGAGTCAAATTCCTCTTTCTGTTTCCCTTTCTGTTCTTCTGCCACACCATGGCCACCGAATCATCCTCAGTTTCTTCTTCCTCTGCTTCAGGCGACTCTACCTCTATGTCGTCCACTTTCTCTGCTATCTCTCTCCCACCCAATCCCCAGCTCAGTGTCAAACTCACACCAACCAACTACCTCCTATGGCATGCTCAAATAACCTCGCTTCTTCGCTGTCACTGTTTGATGGGCCATGTCGACGGCTCTCTTCCTGCTCTAACACAATCTGTTGATGGCCAATCCAATCCAGTTTACTGGAATTGGTACCAAAGAGATCAATATGTACTTACTTTGATCAATTTTTCCCTCTCTGAATCCGTAATGCCCAACATCAACAACAAGGCCACAGCGTTTGATGCGTGGTCAGCTCTTGCCACCATCTACGCCTCTGGTTCGCAAATCCAGATTCGGCAGCTCACCAAGACACTCCAAACTATCCGTCGCGACGACGCTAGCATTCATGACTACCTTCGAAATGCCAAAACCAAGGCGGATCAATTGGAGGCCCTGGGATCCCCTGTCAAAAACGAAGATCTCACAACTTGGATCCTCGATGGCCTGGGTGAAGATTATCGGCCTTTCGTGCGTCACATCGAGGCCAGGCTGGAACCCATCAGTTTCGAAAATCTCCATTCCCTTCTCCTCAGTGAAAAACTTCAGATCCAGCGATATGCTTCTCACTCCGACTCTCCAGCACCGTCGGCTTTCTTCTCCAGCGATGGTGGATTTCGCGGCAGAGGCGGCCGTGGTAGAGGCCGCGGCAATGGTCGTGGTCGCTATTATTCTAACCCTTCTTTTGCTTATGATTCCTTTGAAATGTCAAGCCCAGCGAGTGGGGTTCTTGGGCCTCGGCCCACTGGTGGTGTGGTCTGTTACAACTGTGGAGGAAGAGGCCACATAAAGCCTCATTGCCCGAACCCACTGATTCCTCAGCACCCTACCTCGGCCCAACCTGTGCGACCTTATTATCCTCGTCCTTCCCGCTCTCCTGCTGGCCCACACACCATATTTTCTTCCTCACCCGTCCAACCCTTCGATTCTCATCAATGGATTCTGGATTCGGGTACGAATCATCATCGCACCTCGGAGTTGGACAATCTTGCTCATCATTCTAAGTACAACGGGACTGACCAAGTGACCTTTGGCAACGGTAACTCTCTTCCCATCTCTCGATTTGGATCCTCCTCGACTTCTTTATCCAATACTCCAATTTCTTAGGATAATATTCTGCATGTGCGTGATGCTCCCTACAATCTTCTCTAAATTAGCTCTCTCACTCATTCTAATCCTATATCGATTGAATTTTTTTACTCTGTTTTTCTCATCAAGGACTGACGCACGGGGCGTGAACTTCATCGTGGCTTTGCCGTGGACGGTCTTTACTAGCTTCCCCTCACTATTTCTCGGCCCCTTTCCCCCATTGCTTGTGTGGCTTCGTTTGATACTTGGCATCGTCGGTTTGGGCATGCTCACGCACGTGCGGTCAAGCAAGTCCTTCACTAGCATTAAATAAAATTCGAACCATCCTCTCTTTCTTTGTGTCATGGCTGTGCCGTCAGTAAAATCCACAAACTACCTTTTTCTGCTTCCACATTCCATGCTCAGGCCCCTCTCGAACTCGTCTGTAGTGATGTATAGGGTCCTGCTCCTATTTTGTCTTACGATGAGCAATCCTATTATATTCTTTTTTATGACCATTATAGCAAATTCTCGTGGATTTATTTTATTCGTTATAAATCACAATTGCTTAATGTGTTTATTCAATTTCGGCAATTAGTGGAAAAATTCTTTGGCCTCCCAATCAAAACTTTTCAATCAGACTAGGGTGGCGAATATCAAGCCCTATCCACTTATCTCGCCCAAAATGGCATTGCTCATCGCTCTTCGTGTCCTTATACCCCTAAACAAAATGGGTGCGCCGAACGTAAACAT